TATTATTATTATTATTATTATTATTATTATTATTATTATTATTATTATTATTATTATTATTAATGACATTTACTTGAATACTTGAGCAGCTGTATGTTATCGACGTTCATTGCCACACCATCGATGCAGTTGACAATTTCTCCATTTAACTCGTTGTTGCACTCTCCGAGTCCACGTGATTCTGTACAGGCGCGCCATGGAGTCTCACCACCTCGCTGTTGGCCTACGCAGTGTTGGCTAATTATTATTTGTGATAGTAATTACTAATTTCATGGTATTCAGTAGCGTTGAGATTTTAGATTGGATTAATTTTAGCGCCCATTTTTATTTGAAATATGAAGGTAGTTTGCGGAGGTGGTGACGGAGGTTTATCATGTAGATCTCGATTTTGTTCGAAGCAGCCTCGATACCTGATTCTCAGAGTAGTATCTGTAACTCTATTTTTTTTAAGTCAAAGTTGAATAATTCATAGTATCCAGAATCCCAGCACTTATTAAGTTCCTCTGCAGAGACCCTGAATTTGCTAGCGTTAGTAAATCTGCTGATGATAGACTTGAAGTTATATTTGTGCACCGGACGTGGATTATTTCCGTTTTTTAAGAAATTGAGTTTATAATTTATTTCTTTGGAGCGATCCGGGTGACAGCAGAGTCTTAATTCATAAAGTTAGAGAATCCCTGGTTCCCTAATATAATTGAAAATGAAAAAATTCATGAAATGTCAAGTTCCTGAATTTTTGCGACAATTGTTAAGAACCGAGTTTTTTTGAATTTGAGTGAACTCGTCGTCTCAGTGAATTTAGTTGATGGGTGCTCGGATGCCGTTCCGTCGATCATTCACACTCACACACTCTTGTTTGTTTTTTCGTTTCTTCACATCTTTACGTGTTTAACAATTACACGGAAACACCTTTTTAACATCAATATATGATTTTAAGCATCAATTGTTTGAATTTTTCAATTTTTCACACCCAAAGCCATTTTTTTGAACCCTGTTTCTGGATGTTTAATTAACCGGCTACTATAAAAGCCGCGAACTTGATTCCTGGGGACTTTCTTAAAAATCTGTCCTAGTTTTCTGAGTTTTTTTCCTCGAAAAGATCAGAAATTTCTCTATTTTCCCGAATTCTTTTCTTGAAAAATATCAGGTTTTATTGATGGCTTTATCATCGGGTATTTTTTTTTTTTTGGTAAAATAGTTGCTGTTCATATAACTTCCCGAAGTCCTCTATTGGTCATCTCCTTTTTGACTTTTTATAAATTGTGGTTATGGGATTTAAGGAAATTGTAGGATAGAGGGATTGAACTTAAATGTCCTCTTTAAAAAGACATTTTACGATGCAGTCTGTCTGTGTTTCATCTCTTAACTGTAAACACTGACCGAACTTTGCATGCGACTAGGAGCGGGAATCATCAGTACAGGCTCATCGAATGACGGCAAAATGAGGGGCAATTCGTCCCTTTATAGTGTGACCAATGGTCACTCGACTGGGCCACCATGGACAGCTGTTGGCCGTCGAAGAAAACAAATTATGATTTGTTGCAGTCGTTTTGATACTACTACTGGACGCAATGGTTCGTTATGGCTGGCTTATCGATGCGGAACATCACATGCGATTATTACATGGAACGGCCAAACGGTTTCAACAGACCAAAGTTGCATGCAACTGCTGGCGCACGAGTACCAATCATACGTATGTTCGGCATCCTGCACACTGGTATCGTTCCATCCCATTTACTAATTCCACTGCACATTTCTCCGTGAAATTTTTTGGCTAGAAAATGGCTTAAGGATTTCGGCCGTCCTGTATTTTCCACAGTTCAGATTGGCCGTTACTTCAGAAATTATGGTTCATTCTAGCAACGATTGCAAAAAATTATCAACTTATCGAAATTTTTTTGTCAAATTTTAACAATTTATCAAATTTTTTATCAAAATTTATCAAAAATGTTTACCACTTTGGTCGCCCCGCTTTGGATCATCCACTCCTATGAATGGCCTTCGAATGGCCGTTACTTATCATTCTTCTTCGTAGGATTGCCCATCTTCTACAAAACAGCTCCCTCCTGGCACCATTCTTCAACGCTTTTGATAGAGATTTGCACCGTATTTTCCCGCATTTTAAGTAAAATTGTGTTGAAATATTTTGCCCATTCCCCTCTGAAAAGTGAATTTTTACGGATAAAATTGTTTTTTTTTCCTTCATTTTTATAAGCGATGTAATTGTAGGGCTGGGAAGGAGCGCTCAAGTACGGGAAAAAAAATTTACTTAGTTGAATGATGTCGGACAGAAGGTTGAAAGTTCAGTAAAAAAATGTTGAATTTTTTTCAGAGTTTTTTGCGCGAAATTTTACCGCAAAATTTACAACTTGACTGCGAAGCTCAGCTAGTTTAAGCTTATTGGCACTGAAAAATATACATATATTGGATTTTTTATGAATGAATTAGTGATGGTATGTGTTAGGCAATTGAAACCGCCATCACTCTGTTAGCAACCCTTCGGAAAAAGAAGCCATCGACAGCCTTGTGAGCGATTAGTTACTACTGACACGTGCTACCACCACTCAGGCTATTTGCATGTCTTTCCGCTTCACTGAGGAAACAAAGTGCAAGGGAGTTTTGGCTTTTGATACTCTACAAGCTAAATTAGACGTAAAACCTTAAGAAATGAACATAGGTTCAGGTATATGATGGGAAACGAATAAAGATACCAAAATTTTTTTTTGTGTGCGAGATTCACGTAAAAGAACCATTAGATCAGCAATTTTTAGGTTTTTTTTTCATCTATGCAATGCAAAAACACATATTGTCAAGGGCTTTTCTTTGTGTATATGTATTTGTGTGTGTGTGTGTCTGTGTTTGGGTCTGTACCGAGTTTTCATCTTGAGATCCACAAAAGCTACAAGACTGAAATTTTGGCAAATTATTGTATTTGGAACGAACTAACGTTAAAGTATTTGCTCACGTTGAAAGTGGTGTTCGGTCAGTTTTGAGAATGGATTTTGCAGTCGAGAATCTTTCTTGCAGGTCAGAAATGTTGTGTAAATGTTCACGGTGTCTTTCCATATATCATTGTGCGTACAGGCACACATTTTACGCCTGAATTTGCAAGAACTTTACGTGCTCGATTTGTCAGGATCGTCATGGAAAATAACCGACGACATCGATTCAACCCGGATTTCGCCATCTACGAGATACGACCACTGCTTGCGAAGTAAGCCAAAATGCCATCATCTTTGATGTTTTGATATTTCTTGAATGATATTACCCTACTGATTTTTTATCACTTCAAATTTTTGGATAGGTAATTTCATTTTTTGCAAAACGAAGATTGTTGAATTTTGTGCATGTGGAAACAGCGGTTCTAGGGTCTGACCTTGAAATTTTGCGAAGTGTATTTTCTCTGTTCGAAATAGCACCAAATTTTATCAAGAAATTGGCCGAGGGTTAATTTGAAGACGCGCTTTCTGGCGGTTAAGAACTGAAAATTTTAATTTTTAGAAAAAAGGCTATTTTTTGACAACTCAATGTACATATCAAATAGGCATGTGCAATAGAAAGTTATAATAAGAAGGAATGAAATAAAGGGAAAAAAGAGAAAAGGAAGAAATGA